AATGGCTTCTACCTCGGCTATGTCATTGGTCATGCCACTCACTCAGAACCGATCAACCATTGCCTTCCTCAAGCCATTGCCATTGAAGCCATCAAAGTCCTCATCTTCCTCAACCTTGCCTTCACGTAGGTTTCAAGTGAAGGCATCTAACTTGAAGATGGAGAAAGCCGTGAGCGGCCTAGCTGCCACGGCCCTCTCCATCTCAATGGCGATTCCAGAGGTGGCTGAAGCAGCCGGCTCAGGAGTCTCTCCTTCTCTCAAGAACTTCTTGCTCAGTATTGCTGCGGGTGGTGTTGTGCTCACGGTCATTATCGGTGCCGTAGTTGGTGTCTCCAACTTTGATCCTGTCAAGAGAAGCTAAGAGAGATTTGTTTTCTCCTATTTATATATGATCATGATATAAATGTGGTATTGATTTGTGAATTCATGTAATGTTTTCAGCAATCAACTTTTTTCCTTCTCCTTGTATCATTTTATATCATATTATTCACCTTTCAAAATTCATGACTCTCCTTAATTTGGTCTCAAGATTACATTTTATTTATTTATGGTGACATATATTATCAGACATGTTAACTTTTAAGTGGCTTTTGCAAGAACTTACGAAACCTTTGCTTCGAATCCGTTAGACATTAAAAAGGTTCACACAGTTTTGTATGGTTTCAAAAGTCGTCACTTGTAGCAAAATGTTGGTTAGTGATTTATTTGCTCAGGAAAGTTGCGAGGCAAAGATTGTATAACTGTGACTCAAAATTTTCAAGTTATATATGTAAGAGTACAAGAAAGATTAAGAATATATGGTGATATCTTTGATATGATCATATACGACCTATACATTTACTGATTGTTTTTTTCTTATTTTCCTTTTGATGGAAGTGAGCTTTCAAAATGTTTAGATAACACAATGATTAGACATACATAAGAGAGGTCAAATGTTGTGTTTAATTTCTATTATGAAACAATGTGAATTATAAAGTCCAACATTTTTTTTTGTTTTTTTGCTTTTGATCAATCTCTATTAGAAGAGAATCACATGCTCTATGGAATCTCATTGAGATTCAACAATCGTGATAAGCTTAATTTCCGGGTACTCTTCGACTTCTGAAGTTATTATACTGGCCTCTGCATCATTTGGTATCATATTTCACCTTCAAAGAACAAACTTCAAAATTGCTGAAAACATTACATGATTTCACCAAATTTGACTACACAACAAGGAGTAATCAAAACTACGATAATCCTTCTTTGGCGCTGATCACGTAAAATCTTATTTAACATGTCTTGCAATGATTTTATATATGGTTTTATGTAGGATATTTATTGTAGCATGAATTGGCTGATATGACAATAATTATGAGCAGTTATACTTTGGATTTAAAATAAGAAGGATGGAGTTGGCCTCTTTTGACTTGAAACCAATTACAAAGAAGGACTGAACCGCAATAATAAAATCTCTTCCAATAACCCACCAAACTGATTTTAATACTTCTAAGTCATATGGTCTTATAACTTTGTTTCCCATCATACAAGAGAATCTCTTACACTTACTTCACTTTAACAAATGTAACTCAACAAAACTGGCATGGCTGGAAAATGACCACCGTCACATATTTAGGGGTTGATTGGTTCACCCGCTACCACCCGCAAATGCAGCGTTTGCGGGTGGTAGCGGTTGTTGGCGTTTGACAACAATTATGGAAAACGCTTCATACCGTTCTGTATCGCTTCAAACCTCTCAAATCCAAAAACTGCTTCCTTTGA